ACTTAAGAGGTGCCAGGGCTGCTTCTATCCCAGCAGAGTAAAGTAGAATAGAATAACAATCCTCTGACTTTACACTGTCTGTATCTTCTGCTACCACTCTGAGTGACAGCAGGGCCTTCATAGTGCTTTCATATTGCATATTAATGTTGAGAGATGCTCTGTGTGTGCATCATTGGGTGCATTTACAAGTCTATTTTTCTCTGTGTCATCGCTCTTTATCTGCCTTTAATCAGAAGCAAAAATGTGTCAAAAGCATCGAGCTCTGTGTAACCAGCTGTAATGCTAAGCCATCCATTCTGGAATATAGATCTGATCTGTCATCATCCTTCCTCCATAGATTAGCGTTTAACAGCAGGAACAGCTTTCCATCCAGCTCAGAGGGATCAATACATCGGTTTCCCTTCTATAAAATCTGATTCTGCCTCTGCCAAGTGTGGGTTATGTAGAGGGTCGGAATACACAGCAGTTGATGTTGGCTTCTGCTGGGAGCGTACGATTAGAGATGCTCTACAGGCTCGCACTGAGCGTAGTGTTGCTGCTGTTGTCGTCTAGCCTTCCCTGCCTTCCCTGCGTCCTGTCACTGATCATTACAGCGTCCCCTGACAGAGTATGCTGGTGCACTGCTTCTTCATGCATAGCCTTCTATTCACTCTGTCTGCTGGTTTCATAGCTTTAGCGTAGGTCAGCTCAAGTTCAGCCAGAGGATGAAAAGGGTATTGTCCACTCCTGATTTTCATCCTTACATAACGAAGATGTCCACACTTCGTGTTTTGTATAATATCTGGCATTATACAGCATAAAATTTCCTTTGGAATTAATAATACACAATATGAATAATACACAATACAATACAATACAATACAATACAGAAAGAACAAAGAGTAAAACAGAACACTTTGTTTGAAAGGCATATCTTTGCCGAAGATGTTAAACGCAAACCAATATTACAGTAAGACTGGTCTCTGTTCTACACCTCCACTTGCTGTGACAACCTCTGATTGTCTTGACAGGCATTTCGGCCTCTGTCTGCACTTTGGTGCCATCTGAGGGACTGGTCTATAATTATGTTGAAAGAGAATAGTCACAGTGTGTCAGTCAGCATGACGCACCTGTTCTAAATGGTTAGTCACTGTTCTGGCATCAACAAAGAGTCAAGCCCAGGAGAGGGTAGCACTTGGAAGCTCTCTCCTTATAACGGTGGACCAATGTAGCATCCACATGATTGCGAAAGCATAGATTGAATATTCCATTTTATTTATAAAACAACTGTTTACAGCAGTCTTCTTAAGGCACTTTCTATTGTAAGGTAAAGGCCCAGCAATATTAGGGTGAAATTAATGATATGATCCCCTGTGAGGAAGCCCGTGTGACAGTAGAGAGGAAGAAATCCCCTTTAACAGTCAAAAAAAAAGCTTAGGAAGGTGCAACCATCTTTATCACAGGAATTTCTCCCCAAATTAATTTGATGTCATTAGCGAGGTACAGTTTTTGGATTTTAAAACAGTCAAGACTTAATTTAGATGCAGACTTTCAGCTGTAGTTAAAAAGATATAATAAAAGTATTTAACTGGGGGATTACAGGTATTTTATACATAAGGTCTAAAGAGATGTTGATGCAAATGAAGGAGGTCATACTCTGAAAAACCAACATCAACCCACATAGCAAAATTGATATGGCCCGGATCTGGCCCACACAATGTGCTTACACATGGCACACATACCACAAAGAATGACGGCCCTGTGCTGGCACAGAACAGTTTCAGCTCTGGCCCCAGATGTCAGCCTAATGTGTGTCAAGCAATGTAATAACAACATGTGCCGGAACATAATAGTACAAAAGTAACATGACAAAACTCTGTTTAGACACTGAATTAACTGATTCTTAGATAGGGCTTTCCTTCTCTCCCGGATTACTCAAAGTGCTCTATACAACATGCCAAATTCACACACTTTCTCTAAACTGGGCGCTTCCTAACTACATTCATACTCTTGACATGCAGACTGGAGGAGCCAGGAATCAAACCACTAACCTTCCAATCAGTAGATGACCTGCTCTACCTCCTGAGTTACAGCCACCCGGTGGTACACATGAGTAAACCCTCACTACGTTTTGGAAAAAGTGTACACTCACAAACCTGTCAAACCTGCGTTTGAAACGTTGGCCCATAGCAGTATAGTATTGCATCGTGGTATTTCGGTCTTTTAACTGAAATAGGAAAATCGGAACATAAACAGTGTCATCATTGCCAGACCTGGCCCACATCTGGTTGACATACCATGACACCAGTCAGTCAGAAGTGCCAGCTTGATGCCGGATCTGGGCCAGACCTGTTTTCTATGAGCCTGGGCCACCTAAACCAAACTACAATCGGGCCAGATGTGGCATGCCATCACATAAACAGTGCCATCTATGCCAGGCCTGGCCCCTATTTGGATGACATAACACACGTACCATGCCAGAAGTCAGCCAGCAGTGCTGGCTTGACACTACATCCGGGCCAGACCTGTCTGCTATGTGGGAACGCAACACCAACAACAACCGTCAGACCAATAGTAGAAATTTTTGACTGGGAATATCAACCATCTAATACATTCTCAAAAGTACTGGCAAGAGTGCCAAAAGGCCTGAAAGACCACAATAGACAGTTTTCTTCTTTGGTTTTGAAGGAGAAGTTAAGGAGGAGATGTGTCATTGTTAAGGGCTACTGACAAAGAAATGGGATATACTTCAATGACCAACTCATTGACCTGATCTCATCCCAAAAGAGCATGATTTTTTGCTTACTGAAGGCAGAACTGAAGGAAGAGAGACCAGCAAACAAGCTGCAACTGAACACGGACACAGTGCCTGGTAAAGCATCTTAAGCAGAGGTTGTCCAACTGCAGGCTTCAAGGGCCCGTCTCCTGCAAGTTTTAGATGTGTTCTTGATCCAACACAGCTGATTTAAATAGCTAAATTACCTCCTTAACATGTCTTGAAGTTTTCCAGAGGCCTGGTAATGAACTAATCATTTGATTCAGGTGTGTTGACCCAGGGTGGTATCTAAAACCTGCAGGACACCAGTCCTTAAGGCCTCGAGTTGGGCATCCCTGATCTTAAGGAAAGAAAGTGAATTTTGTAATGTCCATTGTTCTAGAGCTCAGACAGTCACTTCACTGTCACTTTCAAGTCTCACGGATCAGTTTGGTCAGTTTTAACTTTTCATATCCATGAACAGTGATAGGTATAAACCTAACGGTAATCTGTCAGAATCCAACCCTCAGTGAGATACAAGACAGGCAGTATCAAAGCACCCTGGTATCTGAACAGCAGAAACAACAAAAGCATGAAAATAAGACTGACAGTGTAAACTTGTCCTGGGGTAGAATACCAGTGGAAAGGTCATTATCAGTTCAAAGTGAAAATGGTTCTTCCCCTAGGCAACATGAATGTGCTCAACAAGTTTTTTGACACTCTGTCTAAGCAGATGAGAAAATTCACATCAAATCGGGTGTGAAGGTGACGCTGGGAGACACGTTGAAACTGCAAGAGATTATTCTCCTAGAAAAGTTAAATGTCCTCAGCAGTTTTTCTTAGTCGTTGGCTATAATGGTTCATGATGTGGTTCTGTCTATCTGTGTCACAGTATCCTGTTTATCAGGGACATTATCGATTGATAGAAGACTCAGATTCCTTCCTATGATCTGTGATCCACTTGCTGCTGTAGATCAGGGGTGGGGAACTCTAGAGCTCAAGGGCCCGGTGTCCTGCAGGTTTTAGATATCACCCTGGGTCAAATGATTAGTTCATTACCAGGCCTCTGGAGAACTTCAAGCCATGTTAAGGAGGCAATTTAGTCATTTGAATCAGCTGTGTTGGATCAAGGACACATCAAAAACCTGCAGGACACCGGCTCTCGAGGCCTGGAGTTCCCCACCCCTGCTGTAGATCATGGATCATGGGAAGAAGGAGGGGAACCCTACACTCCTTATTTAATATTCTCTTTTCACAAGTGAATAAATTAAATTCTTTTCTGCAGTCACTGGAGGCAAAAGACAGAAGGAAACTAGGGTTTAAAAAGAAACAGGAAGTGAATATATATTTTCATGTAACAGGCCAGAGCTTAAGGCCTGATCAGGATTTTGTTTTCCAAGGAGAGACAAGATTTATTGCTCATTCTTTCTTATGTTCCATTCCAATAGTCTTATATATATTTATAGATTTTTTCCTTTAAGGAAACAATTAGATGTTTTTTATTTATTTATTTAGGAATATACTAAATTGGGTAAGAAGAGTGAGCTGCTTTCAATACTGACCAATCTTACTTGTAAGCTAGAGGCAGGGATGCATGAACTGAGATTTATAGGTACAGAAATCTTCGAGCACATGAAAGACAGGTGAAGATTGTTACTGACTTTGATTAGGAGGCTCTGTGATAAAACTAGCGTCCAATCGCCGACTCTCCATCCTCCTACAGCTATCCATTAAGATTGACGAGGTGACATTGACAGCATGGCTCTGTGCCTCCGCACCGTCAATGTGATAGGAGCTGTTTTTCTTCCTGGCCATAAAAGAGAAACACTGTTTGTGTGACTCATCCAGAGACCAAGCTGTATGTCAGGCTATGTAAAAAAAGGTCCCCGTGTCTCAGACCAGAGTGCTAATCAGTGGAAGGATCTCAGCTGTAGAGAAAATGGTGTGAACTAAAACCTTTTAACAGAGCGATGGCTTCAGTTCTGTTTGTTGTGGAGTGTGGCTAAGCTCTGTTCTCCAGCTCATCCTATCGATCCATCCATCAGGTTGAAAGTATATAATTTTTATTTATTGCCTGAATTAAGGCTCTTGTAGCGTGTTTATTTCCCTTGCTCATTATTACATTTCATTCCTTATTACTTATATAATCAGTTGGATGGGTTTCTTTTGGTTAGCTGCAGTCATTTTGTTTTTAATGACCTGTCACTCCAGTCAACAGTTATTATCCAAACTCAAAAAATGCCTCTTGTTTCTGTGTCGTGAACAGATTATAGATAATGGGCTGTGTGCAATGCAAGGATAAGGAGGCAACCAAACTCACAGATGACCGAGACAACAGCATCTCCCAGGGAGCGGGCTACCGCTATGGGGCCGACCCCACGCCACAGCACTACCCCAACTTCGGGGTCACCGCCATCCCCAACTACAACAACTTCCATGCTCCTGTAGGACAGGGGATGACCGTCTTCGGGGGAGTCAGCACTTCCTCACACACGGGAACGCTGAGGACCCGGGGTGGAACAGGTAAAGGAATCACAATTTTTATTTCTGAATGTGAAAGTAATGAAAAGTGATTCAATATATATATATTAATTGCACAGTAATATACAGTATGCTTAGCATTTGCTGTAAGACCTGTCCTGATTAGGGTTTTTTTCCCTGAGCTATAAACCTTGAGCACGTGCATGTTAGCTTCAGAAATGTAGATCCATTTGTTGAAGATCCCAGTGTAGGGAGACTAAGCAGTGCTGTCAAAATTCCCTTCTTTATACCTAATTTATATTGCCATCCTCATCTTGATGGGTTTTCCACTTTGTCACAGTACTAATGAATGTACCTGCACAGGCAGGCCAGCAGGGTACCTCGAATGTCTAAACAACTTTGACATGAAAGAGCGTTGGTACTTAAGGTTGATTTATCAATATCCAGAGCTTTACCAATTCAATTTAGTTCAATTCAATGTGATTATATTTACAAAGGGCTAAATCATAGCAACAGTCATTTCAAGGAGCTTTATATTGTAAGGTAAAGACTTTACAGTAATACAGAGAAAATTAGACGGCCCTCTTTGTCCAAGCACTGGCAACAGTGGGAAGGAAAAACTCCCTTTTAACAGGAAGAAACCTCCTGTAGAACCAGGCTCAGGAAGGGACATCAATCAGCCGTAACCTGTTGGTGGTTGGGGTCGGGAGGCTGGGAAAAAAATAACAATAAGTGATGATTAAATGCAAGTGGTGTACAAGTGAGTGGCAAGTGCTGTGGCAAGTACACAGATGTATACATCTCCTGTTGCGCCTTGACTGTTTTTATCTGTGCTGTACCTACACCTTACCTTACCTACATTGTACCAGTGCCGTCCTTACACTACACCTGTGCTTTACCTATGCACAAAAGGTTTAGGTTCAGTTTTAAATTATAAATGAAGCCTTAGTTATTTCCTTTCATCTCCGTACAGTCATAAACCCTCCATTAATTACCAAATCTTTTATTAAAACATTTTTTCATGTGCTCTAAAACTTTGCCCTAAATTTGTGATTAAACAGTGTTGGTATGCCAATTTACCCTGCAAAGGAAACTGACTGAAGTTTCTAGTATCTCTGTCGACAGGTATTAGTGTTGTTGTTGGATGCTGTAGTGTTCCAGCTAAGATCGTGGCAGAACATGACGGTGTTGTCGTAGGCTTCTGAGGACTCAAACACAGAGACAATAACCTTTTCATCTATCACAAGTTTATCACGGGTTACATCATAGACAGCTGTGATCTTATTAGTTGCAAATTGGAAGGTCAACGCCAAACAAAGTCAGAGTTGAAGATAATTGAACTTTTACAACAGTGAAGTATAAAATCCAGCGGTGCTTCAGACTTTAGGATCCCAACAAATATGACTGCAACGTCTCTCTTCAGTTTTAAAAAGCATTTAGTTATATTTTATAAGTTATATTTTCTAAATTCTAAAAGCACATTAACAGGGAAGACAAAAAGTCGTCCCTTTCACTGTGGGTTGAAAACGCCTCCCTTGGCCACCATTATCTCCATGAATTGTGTCTTTTGAACTTCTTTGTATCATTAACATTAACAAGTGGGACAAAGAATACCACTTTCCCACTGCAATTCTGCCATGAGGATGCCAGACAATTCAAGTTCATTTGAAGCGTATCAAGACTTTGATGACTCTGCTCACAACAGCCAGTTTTGATCCCTGGACTTGGATGATAACAGAATGGGAAAACAAAGAGCAGAGCTTGCCTGTCACCACTGCTGTGACATAGGGCAAAAAAACCTTTATATTCAGCTTCTTTTGCAGATCTGCTCAGTGGCAAACAGATTAGACTGTATTTGTAGTTGTTAGTTACCATTTGGGAATAGTGTGACATATAAAAAGAGCAACTCTCCCTTAGAAAATCACTGCAGAAGAGAAGCAGAAAACTGATCATATCCTTGTTCCATCTTTGCTTTCGCATCTGAGCAGTCCTGTCATGTGAAGTGTGAGGACAATGCTGCTGAGAGACAAATGGTATTTTGCAAACAAGCAACATAGAGGGAGTAAATAACAAATTTCTTGGAGAAAATACTCTTTATTGCTTGACAGAAGACGGGAAGGATTTCCATCACAGCCTGAAGTGTGAGTGTTAGTTCTTTTTGTTTCAGTCCCACACAATTAAGGTGCTGACTGGGCCTAGTAATAGTGTTGTGATCACAGCCACCCACAGGCATACGCCTCCATATGCAAAAGCAAACTAAGAGGGGTTTCTCTTGCTGTTAAAGACTTCCCATAACATCCCAAAAACCTCGACAGTCCGACCCCAGCCCGGCCATGTCAGGAATGTCCGACTGGCATTAGCACCGGCCTTTGTGTGCCGGTTTCATTGTTTAGGTAGGGAATATTCCTACTCAGGATATCCTTTGTGTTTGACTGAGTCCAGGCTGCTATGCAGAGGAACTCTGCATTTCCACTCAACTTAGCAGAACACTCCCTGAAAGTGTGGATTATTTTTCTGCTCTGTATAATCCAAATCCACACGGTGGTAGAGAAGCAGAGAGGGGTTTAGCTCTTTAATTTTCTCCTGGTGGGAGAAATTTGGATGTAAGCCGGCCTTCCCTTTAAAGCCTTGTTATAACGCAGCTGCCTAGCTCATTCTCCTCAGCCCCAGTCACCCCCTTCAGTGGAGCTGGTATCTGAAATCTTATTGATCAGTTGATCTTTTGCTGATGTCATTCTCCCCAAATGGAAACTTTCGGCTAGTACCATGGTCTTATGTAACTAATTGAGTGGCATCGCAACAGACAACTCTGATCGATAAACTAGTTTATAGTTGGCGCTCACCTCTGCTGACCTAATCGAACATTCAAACACCACAAACAGCTGTTCTGGCTTGAAGGTTTTGTTGATGTTGTTCGGTTGGAGAACTCGAGTGTTTCAATCAAACACTCTTTTTAAAGGTCTCCTCTCACATCTGTGTTGGTTTTTCACATAAGTAACAGCAGGTCCTCTTTATCTGCAGTTCCATCACCCAGAGCGCCACAACAAGCCTCTTCATATCACTGCTGCCTCCTGACAAAGAATCCGTTTGATGAGACTCTGATGAGAAATTACTTGAATTATCAAGCCGGTGTAAGTGGACTCTAAAGAATTGCCCGTTCAGCTTTCATATGTCAAACACTCCACAGCATCAAACAGCTGCTGTCGTCTCAGACCTGAGACCTGTTACGAGGCGAGACAAATGGAGCGAAACTAAAATTGGATTTCCGAGCTGTTAAAAGATAATATTTGATTTGGGGTCTTATTTTCATAACTGGAGCCATCATTTGTTATTGATAATATCATTACAGTTACAGTTGATGAAATGGTGGAAGAAAGATGAGCATCCAGATAATCAGAGAAGTTTTTGTCTGTCGTTAAGATAAATTCCAGTTCAAAGACCAACTTTCTTGTTCAACTTTCAGGAGCTTTGCGTGCATGCGTATGGTAACGTATGGCTGTTTACATGTTCTTGTCTGTACTTTAACCTCCCATAAGAGGTATCTCTGTCATCGCAGTAGTTTTATAATTGGCGAAAGACAATCATTCAAATAGCACTGAAAAATGGTCTGTTTGATATTATCTGTTTGTCAGTCTATCAGTATCAGTAATAGCCATTAAATTAAAAAAAAGAAGAAATAAGAAACACCCTTCAACTATGTTATGTGTGTTGACGTTGTATAGCTTGTCCACCAGAGGGCTTCCTTGTTGGTGGCATATGTGTTTGGAACAATAAAGAACTACACTTACCTTTATGTTTTATGTGTTTCAAGAAAAAAGAACATCCGCCAATATGTTGAAATTAATAAAATATCACGCTCTGTAAGTGACATTATATATATCCACTAAAAAGTCAGCAGAAAACAATTTTCTTTCTATAACTTACCAGAACTAGATTTTTGCTTTTTCTCTGCATATCTACGTGAAGTATGTTCACCTAATATTGAAAGAGGAAAACTTTCCATCAATGTATTTCACAAAGTAGTTACCAACTTGCCATATTATGCCACTCGCATGTGTGTTCAACTGTGCTCCAGATGGTGCAATCGAGCTACAGCTACTTTTCTGTACAAATTATGGGGTTGTTTGTAAATTACCTCAAGTATCATTTTCTGCTTTATGTAATGTTAACCAAAAAATGGATAAACTCAGCAAATATCAAAGCATTATATACCCACATTAATAGATGCAGAATGGGCTAATAGCAGCTAATGATATCAGCAGGTTAGGAGGAGGTAACTGTTTAATCTGTTTTATTTGTGGTAAAATGTTATAGAAAATACAAACACAGCTAGATTACAGATTCTGCCATGTAAAGCCTGTTATAAAAATGATGTTTCAACCTTTCAGATGTTACTTATAACATTACAAACTTTAGATTTCGAAGTTGTATCTGTTATAAGTAACATTACAAATACAGTGTAAAGACAACTGGATCAGTGTAGAAGAGTAAGGGTTTCACACTGTATTAATAAGTACTCATATTGTATAAGCAGGTTGTTTTGCTCTCACTTATCCAAGTCGTTGCATTCATTTGACTCAGTCCCAGTCAGTAGAATCGTTATTTGGACATTGAAAGCATTACATAACTGCTTTCGTTTCACACATTGCGAGGTTTTCCAGTTGAACTTTCCACAACACCTGCCTTGTTGTCAGGATTATTGCAGTTTGGTGTGACAAACAGAGAAGCAGAAAGGCATTCGAGATTTGTTCATAAAAGTCACTTTGTAATGGCTTTTGAAAGGGAAAACAACAACTTCTGCTCTATTTCAGCCAGCTTGATGTTTTCAGTCTTGTCTGTGTGGAGTCGTTGAGATAATGCTGGCATGGCTGTAAAGGTTTTGCAGGCCACTGGTCTTTATCTCGAGTTTTAGCCAGTCTGATGGGAGTCAGGCTGGATTGAAGTAAGTCCATATTCAAGCTTCTGTCACTGGACAATTCAATGTCAGACCTTTGGCTGCCCTGCTGCTACATTCACATTACTGTCAGCTTTATCTAATTGAAGTGGTGGATTTGCTTTAGGCAAGCAGAAGCTCTGGCTTGTAAGGTCAATTTTGAACTTTTGCCAACACTTTGAAACTATCTTGTAGCAGTTTTAGCAGTTCTGTGTGGGTTTTAGCTTCAATTAAAGGTAAGCAAAGATCACTCCATGTCACAATGTTGCCAGAATTTAACTGAGCCAGTGTCTAGACAAAATGCCTTTTTGATTGTTTCTTCTATTGCTTTTTTATTACTGTACCAGTTTGAATTTCTTTCTTCCTTAGTCTCTTTTTATTGTTGACCTCCTGTTATCCAATAACATATTCTATAAAAGGTGTGTAAGGGTCAGAAAACAGTGCTGAGATAGATATTTAAAGGATACTGTTCTTTCTTACATCTGTGATAAGAGGTAAATTAACAAAACTGGTGGAGGAGAATATTGATTCTGCAAAAGTTAGTCTACAAATTTAAAGCATATAGTGTCACAGAGTAAACGTGATCTGTATGATTAAGACTCGCTGGTTCTTTTAGACTAAAAGCCTTCCCGAATCCTTAAAAAGATGAAGACAATAATCTAAAAATAAGGACTTAACTGGTAAATCAGGTCTTCAAATATTCAGAATGCTAAGACCTGAGAAGCAGGAATCAACATACAGCTTTTTCTTCTAACATTACAATTTAAAATTAATCTCAAAATATTGCTCAAGGGTTTCGATCCTGGCACAGAAGGAATCAAATCAGTGAAAAGCAGCAATTCCGGGTCAAGCAGCTCTAACATATTAGCCTAAATTGATAGCCTACATACAAGATTTCCACGGTGACAAGGACATGGGCAAGCCTGCAATGAACTACATGAACCAAATATTATTGCTTTGTCAAATTGCTTAACCATAGTGGCATTAACAAAGGTATTAGAAGGTCATAAATATAACTTGTGGTAAACTGCAGGAAGCTGGTGGATTTAGTTTGTGCCTGACGTGTCGGTTTGATGGTTTGAAACCATTATAAAACAAGGTTTCTATCTGATATTTCAATGTTTATGTTTTATCTTTCAGATGATCCAGTATTCACATGCACCACACACCATGATTGTACAGAAACTGAACTTGTATCTTTTTAGCTCGTTTTTGTCTGTTTCTGATTTAGTCATTGGACTTCAACCCAGTGCAATCGATCAATGTCTCTCTGGAAAGATGGACGGTGCTGTTGTCCATCGCTCTTTCCAATTTAGCCATGGTTGGCAGCATCGTATCTCCTCCTTGATCTTCTTTCAAGAATCATCAGCATTTTGTGGTTATTGGTGAAATTAATGCTGCGAAGGGAGTTAAGGGCTAAACATTCTAACAGTCTATCCTCAAAGAGCACTTGATTATATACACAGAAAGTGACGGCAGTACTTGTGTGTAGAAGGAGTCTCATCAACACTGAACATGTTAAAGAGGATTTGGATCATGACTATGTTAGAAAAAGCTTTGAACGGACATTACGGAGCTACAGCAGAACCTATCCTAGTGTATGTACAGTCAGTCTCTACTACCTCAGGCTAAACAGTTCCAACTGCCAACCAAAAAATAGTTTTAATATATTTTAAGAACCTCCTTAGTACCATACAATAGTATACAATCAATCAAATAGTTCCATTTTTTCTGCTTTTGTCTTCACCCATTCGGCTGAAGTTCTTGTACAAGATCTTTAATTTTTACCTTCTAGGAGTTGCATCTAAAAAGTCATGTTGTTCTGATTTTAAAAGTTTAAAAAGATCTGCTACCATACAATGTACTTCACACAGTTGTGCCTTTATCCTCATTGTGAAGGAGCTGTTGTTGCAGCTCATTTCAGTTCAGAGTGTCATTTTAAACTTGATTTTCTTGCTAATCCTCCTAGCGCTGACACTATGGTTTGGTCCCTCCTGCAGGAGTCACCCTCTTTGTGGCACTTTATGACTACGAGGCACGGACAGAAGATGACCTCAGCTTCAAGAAGGGAGAGAGGTTCCAGATTATCAACAGCACGTAAGTTGCAGCTGCTTATCAGTCTGTCCACACTCAGGAGAAATGCAAGTCTACGAGAAGATGGCGCTAGCTACTTGGAGAGGCGCAGACAAGTTTTCAGATGAGTCGAAAGTGGCAGCTTGTACACGAAAAAGAAATGTTTTGGTTTCATAATGTAGAGCAGGAAAGAGCCCAAAATAAGCCTGCTTTACTGCTTCAGTTTGTGAAACATAAAAGCTGTGTTCTGCTGTGGCAACCTCAGCGTTGAAAACTCAATTATTCAAACCATGAAATAAGACCTAAGACCACAGTAGCTGGTTGAGAAAGCCAGAATTGGCAACAGCTTTTCATAGGGTATGGCATTAAAGGGTGCAGAGCCTTTCACATGAGGTAAAAGTGGTGGCTTGAACAAGCAATATGACAGTCATGATTTTACAGAGGGTGGAGCAGGATCTCCAACCAGCAGTGATGAGTGTAGTGTAACTTCAAGACTTCCTTCTGAACAGGAAGTGCCTAGGTTACACCCACAGTCATGTTGGCTTGCCTTTCTGCTAGTCAGCAGAACTGCAGCAAAGTGTGTGTGTGTGTGTGTG